TAATCATCAGTATTAAAACAATTAAAGACCTGAAATATTTCAGTTGGCGTGCAATTAATCTGAAATATATGAAAGTTTCATTTTTATCATTACATTATGGAAAATAATGACCTTTATCACAATATGCTATTTTTTTGAGAAGGAACTGTAGAAGGTCCATCTCAGACATTTCATACTCAAAACAAAGCCGAGGTGAAGAAATCCTGATGTGCTCTTCCACTGCAGCATGTGCAATCAGAATCAACACAGACAGCAAAGATGTCAGACTAGATGTTTATTTTCAGTTGATGGAGGAGGAGCTGGAGGAGGAAGATCTGGTATCTCTTTTAACTAAGAAGAAACACTATTTTGAAATTTTTTCCCAAAAACAGAACACTGTTTTCAATAGACTGGAACATGCCCCTAGGCTGCCCAAGTGAGGCGTAATCCCTTCCGGTCATCGCTGCCACGACTGCCTGGAGGGGGCGCACTCTCTCAGTCAACACATCCAAGGAGAGACACTGGTTCTCCACGCTGTTTCCTGCGTGACGTCTCCTGCAGCCACACCACTGTCCCATCTTCCTCCACAAATTATTTTATCTTTAAACGTTTCATTAGACTATCTTTATCACTGTTAATGGTACCAGCGCGATGCTGGTTGTATTTTCTCACAGCCCCAGTCAGCAGCTCCTCAGCAGTAGCTGCTCTCAGAGACCAACTCTCAGCAGCCATTTTACATAAACATGCCCACGAAGCTCCCACCAGTCCCACAATGTTTGCCACATAGTCCTGTGAGAGTTCTGGCCAGGGGCAATGCACAAGACAAGGTGTCAGTGGAAGAGTAGAAAACTACAGAGTTTTTGACACGCACACACGTGTTCTGCAATCAGCTGTGGGTAACATATGTATTTGATACCTGAATTGTATTCCTGCCATGCAGAGCAGCCTCCTTGAAGCAATCATCTCAGGAGTATCGTGGTACTTGTCAGACAGATACACCACTTCCTTCAAACCTGGACAAAGGCAAGAAGATGTAAACAAATGAAAATCAACATGAGATTAAGATGTAATTTTCATGTAGGGTTAAAAAAAAACAAAAAAAAAACTTTTTTTTAAAATTACACTTTATTAAATTCACAAGGTACTTGAACTAGCACAATACAAGTCTTAGAACATTCATATATGGAGGGGCTCCACCTGAGCTGGTCAAGGCTGACTGTAATTTTTCATGAGTTTGGTTCTGCTGTCTGTTCTGTCACTCATCACCCACCGTCCTGTTTGCCCAGGACAAGAGGTTCATTTAAGGTGAGAATTAAATGTAAATAGCTAACATGCTTTAAAATGTCATTTTATTAATTCATTTTAATTTCTAAGTCTGACAACAATGAACAGGATATAGTGATAAGATAGTGATATATTGGGCGGCTGTGGATGAATGGTAAGAGCAGTCGTCTTCCAATGGGAGAGTTGGGGGTTCAAATCCACCAGCAGTCACATGCCGAAGTGTCCCTGGGCAAGACACTGAACCCCTCGTCTCTGATGTGTCCCATCAGTGTATGAATGTGATTAAGCTCTGATTAGTCTCTTTAGAATGATTTGTTCAATTAGTTTTGTAGAGATCTAGTATAGAGCTGTATGAATGGGTCAATGAGGACACATGTTGTTGTGTAAAGTGATTTGAGTATCTCGATCAGATAGAAAGGCGCTATATAAGTACAGTCCATTTGCCATATAGTGATGAACATGGATTGTAAAGTCCAGAAACTGGACTGTATGTAGATTATTATTATTTTTATTTTTTTACAATAATAAGCTGAAATGAGATAAATGGAACTGGTCCAGATGACATGATTTAACCTTTTTTGTTGCATATATTTGGATTAAGAAAAACTACGGTAAAACTGTAAAAAAATATTTAAATGTGATTACAGTAACTACAAACACATCAAGAGCATTGGTTAAAAAAAACATTTTTTAGGGAAAACTGTCTCCAACAAGTATATTTATTCATATAGCACCAGTTATAACAAAAGTAAACACTGGGCACTGTACAAAAATATCCACATGTACAAACTGGATTCCAAAAAAGTTGGGACACTAAACAAATAGTGAATAAAAACTGAATGCAATGATGTGGAGGTGCCAACATCTAATATTTTATTCAGAATAGAACACAAATCACAGATCAAAAGTTTAAACTGAGAGAATGTTTCATTTTAAGGGAAAAATCTGTTGTTTCCAAATTTCATGGCGTCAACAAAAAAGTGCATTTTTACCACTGTGTGGCATCCCCCCTTCTTCTTCCAACACTCAACAGACGTCTGGGGACAGAGGAGACCAGTTTCTCCAGTTTAGAAATAGGAATGCTCTCCCATTCATGTCTAATACAGGCCTCTAACTGTTCAATCGTCTTGGGCCTTCTTTGTGGCACCTTCCTCTTTATGATGCACCAAATGTTCTCTATAGGTGAAAGATCTGGACTGCAGGCTGGCCATTTCAGTACCCGGATCCTTCTCCTACGTAGCCATGATGTTGTGATTGCTGCAGAATGTGGTCTGGCATCATCGTGTTGAAAAATGCAGGGTCTTCCCTGAAAGAGATGACGTCTAGATGGGAGCATATGTTGTTCTAGAACCTGAACATAGTTCTCTGCATTAATGGTGCCTTTCCAGACATGCAAGATGCCCATGCCACAAGCGCTCATGCAACCCCATACCATCAGTGATGCAGGCTTCTGAACGGAGCGTTGATAACAACTTGGGCTATCCTTGTCCTCTCTGGTCCGGATGACATGGCGTCCCAGTGTTCCATAAAGAACTTCAAATCGTGACTCATCTGACACAGAACAGTCTTCCATTTTGCCACACTCCATTTTAAATGACCCCTGGCCCAGTGCAAACATCTGAGCTTGTGGAGCTTGCTTAGAAATGGCTTCCTCTTTGCACTGTAGTTTCAGCTGGCAACAGCGGATGGCACGGTGGATTGTGTTCACTGACAATGCTTTCTGGAAGTATTCCTGAGCCCATTCTGTTATTTCCTTGACAGTGGCATTCCTGTTTGAGGTGCAGTGACGTTTAAGGGCCCGGAGATCACGAGCATCCAGTAGAGTTTTACGGCCTTGACCCTTACGCAAAGTGATTGTTCCAGATTCTCTGAATCTTTTGATGATGTTATGCAAGACTGATGATGATAACTTAAAAGTCTTTGCTATTTTACTCTGCGTAACACCATTCTGGTATTGTTGCACTATCTTTCTGCACAACAATGGTGGATCAATTGGTGATCCTCTTACCATCTTGGCTTCTGAGAGACACCGACACTCTGAGAAGCTCTTTTTATACCCAATCATGTTGTCAATTGACCTAATTAGTGTTAATTGGTCTTCCAGCTGTTCATTATATGCTCAATTTCCTTTTTCCAGCCACTTATTGCTACTTGTCCCAACTTTTTTGGGATTTGTTGACACTGTGAAATTTTGAATCAATATATTTTTCCTTTAAAATGTTACATTTACTCAGATTAAACTTTTGATCTGTCATCTATGTTATATTACGAATAAAATATTGACATTTGCCATCTCCACATCATTGCATTCAGTTTTTATTCACAATTTGTTTAGTGTCCCAACTTTTTTGGAATCTGGTTAGTACAATTTGTACAAATATATGCATGCATGTCCAAAAAGGCAACTTGAGGTAAGTTTTATTAATGTTGGATAAGTTTTAAAGTTAGAATTAAATTCTGCTAACACAAAACATTTATTTTTATTCCTAGCTTTAAAGTGGATATTAAAGTGATTAATTTAAGTGATTGTTTAAAGTTACTTTATATTTTATAAGGGGCAGATATAAGATTTTTTTTATTCTTTCTGCACTCTTTTCATTCAATGTTTTCTTTTTCACGATTTAAAAAAATGTTTCATTTAAATGAATGAATAAATGAATTAAATTAAATAAAATGTTAAATGGCTTCAAACATCTGCTAAGTTCATGGCATAAACCAACAGACATGTTCCTGTTTTTAGTATTTTACATCACTTTATAATGTAGCTGTTTATGTTTTTAATATAATTTTCAAAATATTTTTATTTTATTTTATGATTGTTTACTGTTGTACTGATAAATATCTCGTGGAGGGTAAACTATATCTTGACTGCAAGTATCAAACTGTGAAATCCTTCATTTTCTACAACTGATAGTGGTTGATCATGAATCATGATGAAGTTTAACAACTTCTCTGTAAACATTTGAGCTCCGTGGTTTCAGCGACGTCTTCTTCTTGTTCAGTCCGAAGCAGGCAGTCTGATTTGGGTCAGCCGCGCTCAGTCTGTCCCTCCTCAGAGACGGGCAGACTGAGCGGGGCAGATTGGACGAGGCTGGCCGGGGTCGAGTCGTCTCTTTCAGTTTGACCAAAGAGCAGCGCCCCGCTGAAGCCACGGAGCTCTAATGTCCATCGTAAAACTAACTTTAACGTGGTTTAATGTGGCGCTATGGCTCTGCAGACAGTGCACGTTGCTGTCTTGTTTTGTGGTGTTTAGTGTAAAATACTTCCACACAGCGGACATGTTTAGATGAAAAGTTTGTTAGCTGTTAGCCACAGTGCTGCTAACTCAGTCCTCACGTTGTAGCTGCTGCAAACTATGAACTGGATTTCCTGAATGTGAGGCGGGTCTTATTACTCTGGGTTCATGAGACACGCCTCCGTTCAGGAAATCCATTCCATAGTTTGAAGCCAACATGCATCATGGATCGGAAATATCGGCAGGTGGATCGGAAAATCTGATACTTAAATTATGCTGGTATCGGAGGCCAATACTTATACTGGATCGGATCGGCTCCATCCCTAATTTAGATAACCTAGTATAAGCTATTGCCTTGTAAAACTTTATTCAAAACGATAAATCTAACGTAGATGTAAAATATCAGTGTTAGTAACGTTATACTTGTTATCCTCAATGAAATGCATTGTTTACTTGTCTACAAAGAAAATTAAACTCTGCTGCGATCAATACTAATTACACCTTGGCCAACAGGGAAGACATTCTTTTAATTTATATTCTTGTAACACACTTGATAACTTTATTGGGAATAGTGGAGGATAGAAAATGTGAATGCACGTTAGGAAGAGAAGATAAAACTTTATTGATCCCGCAGGAAATTGCTGAAGACTGTTTTCATGACCAGTGCACCACTGGTAAACCTACTGTGGAACTGGGCATAGCGTGGATCTGATTAGCTTAGCTTCATGGTTGCTAACAGCTGCACTAAATAAACAAGCCCCGCTCCATTCACTGTTTCCTTAGATTCTTGGGGGTGGACAAAGATAAAAAAATTCAGCCATTTGATCAGTTATCAGCAATCGCCTGCCCCACCTAATATCGTTATCGGCGACAGCCAAACTTTCCATATCTCTATTCCATATTCCAGAGTTCTACTTTTTTATTTAGCACACTATTGTGTTCCAAATAAAGTGTGAATGTTGAATCACAAAAATCTTAAACTTTTGCACTTAAAATACTGATGTAAAGGTAGAAATCAGCCTATTGGACTTCTGAGCATCATGTGAATGTCACCAACACTAACCTGCCTGGATGATGAGCTTGGCACACTCGTTACAGGGGAACAAAGCCACGTACATGCTGCATCCTTTCACATCAGCACTGTTCTTGTTCATGATGGCATTCAGTTCTGCGTGACAAACTGTGGGACACAACATTGACACAATAACTTTTGAATTATGTACAAGTTGTTTTATTCTCATTTTACTAGGTTGTATTACAAACACATTTGCAAGATGTGGATCAGTTTTAGCCCTGTGATGGACTTGCGACCCGTCCAGGGTGTCCCCCGCCCCTCACACAGTGATTGCTGGACATGGTCACCAGCGACCCTCGTGACCCAAAATGGAAGAAGCGGGTAAAAGATGATGGATGGATGGATGAATCAGTTTTAGCCACCAGTTACTTTAGTTAATTTACTCTTTAATCAACTGTAACTCGCTTGCAGCATCTGGTGCATGTTTTTTATTATTTCAAGAGGGAGGGGCCTGTCTGACAAGCAGAGGTAACTCGTTCCAGAGTCTTGGTCCTGCTACAGAGAAGGCCCTGTCACCTCTGCGCTTAAGACGAGTTCCTGGAACTGTGAGGAGCAACTGGTCCGCTGACCTCAGGGAACGTGGAGGGAGATACGGTTGTAGCAAATCAAAGAGATGGGGGGGGGCGGCACACTGTTCAGTGATTTGTAGACATACAGGAGTATTTTGAACAGGATTCGAAAGTGAACCGGTAACCAGTGCAGTGAGGCCAAAGCTGGTGTAATGTGCTCTCTTTTGCCTGTACTGGTTAAAAATGGGGCTGCTGCATTCTGGACCAGTTGTAGTCGTGCAATGGAGGTCTGACTGATACCAAACAGGAGCAAATTGCAGTAATCAAGCCTAGATGTAATGAATGCATGTATTACTGTCTCCAGGTTATTTTTGGACACTATGGGCTTCAGTTTAGACAGCCGTCTCAGTTGGAAGAAGCATGATTTAACAATCATGTTTACATGATTGTTAAGTTTCAGGGAAGGGTCCATTATCACTCCCAGATTAGTGACTCTTTGTTTTTCTGACAGGGTTAGAGTGGAAAGGTCAATGCAGTGGTTTGTGATCGTGTCGGTGGGAAGGAACAACATGACTTCAGACGTCTTTTCATTGAAACTTAAGAAGTTTAAAACCATCCAGTCCCTGATGTCAGCCAGGCAGTCGAGCAAAAGGTTGAATAGAGCATGTACCATTGTGTCTTAGGGGGAAATAAATTTGACAGTCATCGGCGTAGAAGTGGAAGGGCATGTTGTGTTTCCGGAAAATAGCACCAAGCGGCAGCAGGTATAAAGAGAATAGGAGGGGACCCAGGATGGACCCCTGCGGAACCCCCCATTTAAGCTCTGCTGCTGCAGAACTACAATCCTTGATGGAGACACAAAAGGATCTATCAGCGAGGTAGGATCTGAACCAATTGAGGGCTGACCCTGTGACGCCCACCCACTGCTCCAACCTAGCAATGAGGATCTCATGGTCAATGGTGTCAAAGGCGGCTGTGAGGTCCAACAGGACAAGCAGCACAGAATCACCGGTATCTGTGGTTAAGAAAATGTCATTAAAAACCTTCAGTAGGGCAGTTTCAGTGCTGTGGAGAGGTTTAAAGCCAGATTGGAATAGCTCTAAGATGGCGTGATCCTCCAGGAAGCACTTCAACTGGGACTCGACTATTTTCTCCAGTAGTTTAGAAACAAATGGGATTTATATTCAACAGATGTCTGCTGTATGATTTTATGAAGCTCACTGTTTGTAGCAGCACTTAAGAGACGTTTTCTTCCACTGTACAGGACACGGCAGGAGATGATGAGAGGGAACCTCTGGTCTGGATGTTTGTGAGAAGTGGGGAGACACCACCGCTACAGCCCAAACACGAGGGAAGCAGTGAGGAGGCTAGAGCCGAGATCAGATCCAAACACCAAATACAAACAAGTTGTTCCACTGAGAGGGCAGCACGGTGGCGCAACTGGTAGAGCTGCTGCCTCTCAGCGAACAGGTCCCTGGTTCAAACCCCGGTCCAGGGGCCTTCTGGGTGGAGTTTGCATGTTCTCTCCGTGCATGCGTGGGTTTTCTCCGGGTACTCCGGTTTCCTCCCACAGACCAAAAACATGCATGTTAGGCTGATTGGTAACTCTAAATTGTCCCTAGGTGTGAGTGAGAGAGTGAATGGTTGTTTGTCTCGTTTGTCTCTATGTGGCCCTGTGATGGACTTGCGACCCGTCCAGGGTGTACCCCGCCCCTCGCACAGTGATTGCTGGACATGGGCACCAGCGACCCCCGTGACCCAAAATGGAATAAACGGGTAAAGATAATGGATGGATGGATGGATGTTCCACTGAGGCACCAAGGACGGAGGACAGGAAGTGATCCACGTGGAAACCCTCAGATGAAGCAGCTCTTCTGTTCAACCATCCACAGTTGCCTTTCTCTGACTGATGACTTGTTTTTAAATCTCCAAGAGCAGTCGAGGAAGCTGTGACTTATAGCCAGAAGGTGGAATGTTAAATAATGTAACAAATAATGTAAATACAGTGTTTAAATCTTGTGCCTCATTTAGCTCGAGTTATACGCTTTCTACAGTAAAGTAACGTGTTCATCAAATTAGTTTTTACTAAAATGGTTAAAATAAAACTGGACTCTGAGCCTGTTTTAAATAAAAATACACATTTTTTGGGTGATTATACATCAATAAGAAGACAAAGTCAGAATGTGTTGAACATTTTATTTTATAACTACAAGCTTGGGTTCACAGAACCATTTTACATTAGTGCTAATGAAGTGATGACGCTACAAACTCTAATGTTCCACGTCTGAAAAAAACAACAACAATACTGTCCAACTATTATTTTTTTGGTGAAGGATGACTGTAGTGTCAGCGTAGTCCTTGAAGTCTGCAGAATGTAACATGTCTGCTCTTCAGGTATCATGTCCTTATTGAGTCGAGTGCTGTAAATAAAAAGTTGCTGTGATGATCCGGCTGACTGTGGACTGATGGACACCGTACCAGTCAGCAAGGTCCTGTTGCTTGGATCCAAGGTCAAGGTAATTTAAGAACAGGAAGAGCTCATCAATGGGCTGCAGGGTATGGGTTGAGGGAGTGGAGTGGATAAATAATACTGAACAACTGGCAATAACTAATAATTCAATTTCAACGTCACTACCTGTGCAATAACCTGTCACACAACCTGTGTAGTATATGCTGATTATGTGCAATATATATATATATATATATATATATATATATATATATATATATATATAAAAAA